GTTTGTACAAAACCCATCAAGGATGATGCTTTGGAATTTTGAAAGTTTTCATGTATATTAGAGAAAACAAAGATCCAAAGCATCTAGGGTTACATGTACACCATAGGAGTGTTAGAATGCTCAAAACCCATCACAAACATCCAAAATAGTAATCTAATCATACAAATGCACACTGCCACCCAACACGTGGTTGGTGGCGGCAGATGGTGGCAGCCACCACCTAATGGCGGCGGTGGTGGGTTTTCTTCGGGTTTTCCATCCAAATAATACATTACACATATTAATATCCCAAATAAAACACACATACACACACATATACTCATGTACAACCACCCTTATGGTGGCCAGCGGTGGTCAGAGGTGCTAGCCAACACCTCACGGTAGTGGTGGTGGTTCCCTTGAGATGTTCGGCCAAGCAACACCACACAACACTTCGCTGTAATAAACACACACACACACACACATGTTTCAGATTGCAAAATGGACCTAGCCACCTACCTAGTGGTATATAACGGCGACAACAACAAGGTTGGCGGCACCACTAGCGGTCCTAGCAATTGGAAGCAGCTCACGGTGGGACAGCAACAGACAAACGCGGCAACGCCTCCAAACGAGCTATCCACGAGAAACCGATGACACTTTATCTTCATAGAAACGTGCAACGATGACGTCATCAACCGAAGATAACGGCAACAGTGGCACTGTCAATTTATTCTCCTTCATTTCCGTCTGAACTATGACCTCTCACGTTAATCTTCATCTTCAGCAGCCATGGGAGACATAGCGGTGGTTTTCTAACTCCAACAACTGTGGCGGCACCGAAAATGGTAGCAACCATGATGACAACTTTGCCGATCTCCAACCGATGCAACTTCATTTGACTAGTCTCGGTGGTTTTTCCCCGGCTACACACGACGGCAGGCGACGATAGTGACGATGACGTTACGACGACGAACTGCAGGTGGCATGGTGGCGGCGACCGGTGGGAGTGAGAGGCGAAGGTGGCAGCTAAGGTATCATTTAGGGTTATGGTTTACCGGGGTGACATGTTATATACCCCGAGCTCCATTATACTTATTGCCATAATGCCACTTTTGGTCCCTCCCTTCCCATTTTCTTTCAACGTGAGTCCATAATCCATTTCAATTAAGGTACAATACTTACCAAACATCCCCCCGTTTTCGAAATTGTTTGCAAGGCCAGTCCATAAATTACCGTTTTAACCCCCAAGATCTCAATTATGACATATCCAACCCTTCAAAACAAACTATAATGCTAATTACAATCTTTTTCACTAACCTCTTTATTAAAATATATTCATACATCGAAATAAAATAATACTTAAAACACAACTTCGGATTTTAGGGTTTGACTTGGAAACGGGGTGTTACAAATTTCATCTTTGGAATTCTATTAACAAGCTCATCATTAGACAACTTGGTAATAGTCTTAAAGTTAAACTCATATGTCAGTTTATGTTACACCAAAGTTAAGTTAGATAGTGTTTTGGACATAAGTCACATTCTCGTGGAAACTTTTAACAGAAAAAAAAAGTTAAGTACATAAATATTTTGACTCTATTTAGATGTAAGAGCCACCTTCTTATCAATATCAATAATGCTCTTTCTTTTTTATTGAAATGTACTTCATTTTCTGCATCACATCATTCATTGACTAGTATAAGATTATTCTTTAGTCCTTTAATATAGGGAATTTTTAGAATTTGATGGATCTATATTGAAGAACACCATGACTTTTGGTATGTCCCTTGATATCATCTCTAAATTTGAATGAGAGACCATCTTCTTTAATTAAACCACTTACAAGTGATTTTCATCTGGTCATGGCCTTGAAATAAACACTATCCAAGTACCAAATATGCCCATGTCGTTGTGGTCGTACACAACAACATGATTAGTTTCCTTTAAAAACCCATACGATAATATGTAACGACCCGTTCCCGGTATGTTGATTTATTGGTAATTATAGTGAGTTTTTCAAGAGGGACTCGGCGAGTTCATAGCCTGACTCGCCGAGTAGGGTCGCGCCTGAGGGCACGCGTGAGCCGGGGACTCAGCGAGTCCATATCCCTGACTCGGCGAGTCCATCCGTCTGGGTGAAACCCTAAATCCCCGGGTTGCCCACTATTTGTACCACCTTATAGCCCCCATCCTCGCCTCCCTCACCCTGAGAACGCAGTGTTAGAACCCCAAACCTCCCTTGAAGAGCTTATATGGGTTTTGGTGCCATTTTGTGAAGGTGTGAAGAAGGAGAAGAAGGAAGAAGCAAGGAGAAGTGTTGTAGTGCAAAGATCCAAGGCCAAATAAGAGTTAATTGAGGTATTTTCGGAGTTCCATCTTGTTATATGCTTTAAACTTCCATTAGAGCTCTCCTAAGAGCTAGTTGATGCTTGTTCCAAGCCTTACACTTGCATGAACGTCTTATTAAGTCGGAATATCTATGGATCTGAATGTTGGGGTGTTGTATAGCCCAGATCTACTGTCTTTTTGGAGTTATATTGCATGATAACCATAGATCTACCCATTTTATGCATCTTTTAGCCTTATTTCCCTTATTCATGAGGTTGTACACGTAAAGTTGGAAACTTTACGTGGTAAATCAGTTTATTGGACCCAGATCTATCAATTGTATGTGTTGGATTCAAACAAAATCGAGTAAAAATCAGTTGCATGGTGGCAACTCGGCGAGTCGGGAAGAACGACTCGGCGAGTTGGGTCGTGAGTTCCCGATTCCTTCATTTTTACCAGTGTCGAGTGAACCCAGTGAGCTAGAGAGGGGACTCAGCGAGTTGAGGGTAAACTCAGTGATGGAGGGACTCGGCGAGTCCAAGGCAATCTTCTTGGGATCAAGAACAACTCGTCGAGTTTGTTCATCCGGCTCGGCGAGTCGGATGAAGATTGTCTGAGTTCTTGGATCAAGAGGGTACTCGTCGAGTCGATTCCAGACTCGATGAGTAGCAGCGAGTAAGAGTGAAAAGTGAGAGTAGGACTCGGCGAGTTGGGTGGCCCAACTCGGCGAGTCAGCCCAAAAGAGAGTTGACTTTGACCGAGGGTAAAAGAGTCATTCTACCCCAAGCGCAGTGTTTAGTATTTGATTGAGTATGTTTATGGACTTGTAGCCGAGGAGATTCAGGAGCAGCAGCCGTTAGCTTCCCGATCCACACACTCAACAGCCAGCTTACGAGGTGAGTTTCCTTCCAGTAGGAACGGGTCTAAGGCCACAATGCCGACCCGTTCAGTTAGCGGTAGTTTCCGGATTTAGGTCCGATGCAGTAGTTAGTATGTTCGATGCCTTCGTGGCTCGAACAGGATTTGTGTGCTATGTTTTATGTGTTAAGTATTATGTGTTCCGGGCCACGGCCCGATGTAGCATGTCGTATATGTGTTATGCTAGTTGATGTGTTATGCTATGCCATGTTCAGTCAGTTAGTTCCGGACTTCGGTCCGATGCAGGGGACAAGGTCCCAGTCAGTTCCGGACTTCGGTCCGATGCAGTTAGTTCCGGACTTCGGTCCGATGCAGGGGACAAGGTCCCAGTCAGTTCCGGACTTCGGTCCGATGCAGTTAGTTCCGGACTTCGGTCCGATGCAGGGGACAAGGTCCCAGTCAGTTCCGGACTTCGGTCCGATGCAGTTTCCGGGCTTCGGCCCGATGCAGTGGGCAAGGCCCAATATGTGTTTATATGTTATTGTATGGTATGTGGTAGTTTGGGGGAGCTCACTAAGCTTCGTGCTTACAGTTTCAGTTTGGTTTCAGGTACTTCCGCAAGCAAAGGGAAGAGCTCGGGGTGACAGCATCGCACACACCACAGCATAGCTTTTATCCTGGGGATGTCTTTTGATGTTTTGGATTGATGTTGTATGATACAGTTTTCCGCACAATATTTTATTATGTTTTGGGGATACATCGCGTATGTTTTATGTTATGATACTTATATTATGGTTTTGATTATATTGAAAAACGAAAATTTTTGGATCGTGTTTTTGGGTCGTTTCATAATATGTTTAATTGATGCATATTTTCTAACATTCTAATGATAAGTTGTTGCTTGAATGATTACTTTTTATATATTTTCCATTTATTAACTTGAAGGCAAGGTGCTTTTTCACCATAGTTATAACATTCTCCTTGCTTTTTCTTTTGGATTTTGACATTGTTAGGGGCATCTTACATGTTTTAACACCTTGAGATGTTTTAACGGTTCAATGTTGTTTGACTTTTAAGTATTAAAATATCAAAAAATACCAAGGTTCTAAATAACGTAAGACGTGACTTATCGACAATGTCAAACCTCAAGCTTTTCCAAGCCTTGGCGAGTCATATCGTTTGTAAGGCGTGACTTAAGGTGACAATTTTGTATATGATTCATATTTTTATATGTATTTTCAATTATTATTTATTTTTATACACATATATAAGTGAAGACGGCGTTTTGGTAAAACTTAGCGGTACATACAAGCTTTGGAGTCATGACGAATTTTTTAAAGACTTGAAAAATACTATTTGACTTTTAAGTATTAAAGTACCGAAAGGAGTGATTTTCAGTATTATAAAAAAACATAAAAAGATAAAATAAAACAAAAAAAAAAATATAAAAGAGAGTAAATTGATCATTATACATGTTTTTAATGAAATAAATTAAAAGAACTAACCATGATTGATTTTGAAACATAAAAATCATAAAATAACATTTTCTAAAATTAAAGTGTCATTTTAAAAAAACCAGGGACGCACAATAAAATTTTGTCTTGTTTTAGAATACCTAAAAAATAGAGAAATCTATTTTAATATTAATTTGCAACCTATCATATTTTGAACTGATTATCCCGTTATCATCATCATATAAAAGGAAATTATATATTTCTCTTATTTATTCCGAATAAAACCACTCTCCAAGTTGTTTTTTCCTCTCTCTCTTAATTCGTTATCATCACTGTAATCGCCGACACTTTTATATTTTACTCTCTCTCTCTCTCTCTCTCTCTCTCTCTCTCATCATCGTTATTCTACTTCCAGCTTAAGATCTTCCCTGCTGCAATTTGCTGTTGGGGGCTTTTAATGTTATAGATACAAGGATTTGTCTTCGATTCCCACATAAACCCCATCCACCATTGAAGAAGCGACTTCTTGATTGAAATTGGGGTTTCTTCGTTTTGATTGTTTTTGCAAGATGAAGATGAAGATGAATATGAGGCTCAGAAAGCCGGTTATGGCGTTTCTTTTCTTGACAGTTCTTGCCCCCATTGTGCTTTACACTGATAAACTATCAACCTTTTGTAAAACCCCCCTTAATTCATCTAATTTCTTTTTCCATTCTTACTATCAGATCCTCCGTTTGACTAATGGGTTTTCTTTCTCTCGCAGCTACGGATGAATTCTTTCAGGAACCTTCATCACTTCTAGTAAGCTTTCCAGTCTACTAACTTTTTTCCGATCTCAATTTAACCACTATTTATTTATGTATCGATTTCCTTTCTTCAGCCATCGAATCCGGATGCCACAGCCCTAAATTTTCTTCTTCCTCAGGTGGGTTGAAAATGAATCGAATGTTCTACTTTCCGAATTTCGAATATCTGATAAATTCTCATTTATATTCGTTTTTTTCTATCCACCAGGAGTCATCCACATCGCTAAAAGAACCTATGCGACTTGTTTATTCTGAAAATTCCACTCAATCTGATACCGAAAAGTCCAGAAGAACAAGACAGCTAAATGAAGGTTTGTTTTGTTACATTCTGATCTCAGAATCACTATTGATTCTTGCGCAACCTAACAGTTCTTCCAACATTGAAACATTGCTAGAATCCAAGGGGATCGATACGAATGTTACTGGGGATAATCAGATCAATCCCATCAGGCAAGTTACTGCTAATCATGAGGCGAATGAAGAATCAGCAGCTGTACAAAAGAAAAGTGAAAAGTTAAAGGTGCCTGATTTGGTAGGTTATCTTTTATTCCAGCTGTTTATGTGCTGTTGTTTAATGGGTATTGATTGCATCCTCCATATTTAGGCTGTAAATAAATGTTTTCATAATTAATGTCTCATCTTTAAGGAACAAAAACAAGAACAAGCAGTTGAAGTTTCTCTGAAAGTAAATGAAAGAAAACCTGCAAATCACAGAAACAGAAATGAGAAAAGGAAGCAAGATCAAGAAGAAGTTTTGGGTGATGTTCGTGTACGTCATCTTAAGGATCAGTTGATCATGGCGAGAGTTTACCTTTCACTTTCAGCAACAAGGACGAATACCCAATTTAACAGAGAACTCCGTATACGTATGAAGGATGTAGAAAAACTACTCGTTGATGCAACTAATGACTCTCAACTCCCTAACAAGTAAGCCCGCTTTTTCTTTTTCTTTTTCTTTTTTCTTAATTTATTATTTCTTTGTTTTTCTTTCCGGACAAAGTGTTAAATGATTTTGTAAAAATATTTGAGAAAATGACAATTTGTCAACTTTTCAAAAAGTTAGATCTTAGAGCATCTCAAATCCAACACCAAATCCCAATTAAAACATTTTTTTGCACCATTTTACACAACCCAAAACCATTTTTTGCACCAAAGTGTTTATAAAGGAATAGTATAGCGCCACATTTATTGTTATAATTGGTGTTAAACGCTTATGTGTACCATTTGGTCCTTCATGTTTGAGTAAATTAAATTGTATGGTTATATTTTAAATGTAGTATTTGTCACTTGTAATATTCTAAATGGATATTAATCAACCATAAATATCTTAAATCTAGTATTTATGTTTCAAATTTGTTTGGGTATAATATAATTGTTTTAACAATATCATTTATAAAGTTATTGTAGCAAAAAAGATGCAACTCAAATTTGTAAAAGGTCAATTTTTGAAAATCTATATAAGTTAGAAAAACAGAATGTACTTGGATTTTTTTTTTTTTTTTTTTTTTTTTTTGTGTGTAAAAAGGATGGTGTGTCTATTTCCATTTGTTTCTTTCTGCATCAAGTATAAACGACGTAGTTTTGAGTAAACAAAATCACACATGTGGACTGTATCCATTTGTTTACTCAACTCAAAACGTTTCACACACGTAAGTTTAGTTTAGATGCATAACGAATGATTATTATTATTATTTTTGGGTTATTTATATATTTATTGTTTTTTGGTGTAGTGCTAATGAGAAGCTGAAAGCAATGGAGCAAACATTGCTGAAAGGAAGGAGAATACAAGACGAGTGCAGTGTTGATGCGAAAAAATTGCGTGGGATTATTCACTCAACGGAACAACAACTGAGAGTCGAAGAAAAACAGACTTTGTTTTTGACTCATTTGACTGCTAAAACTGTTCCTAAAGGTCTCCATTGTCTCCCCTTACGCCTTTCAGCCGATTACTACTCATTAAATGCTTCCTCTCAGCAATTCCCAAATCAAGACAAATTACAAGACCCAAACCTCTTCCACTATGCGTTGTTTTCGGATAACGTCTTAGCAACTGCAGTCGTTGTTAATTCCACTATTTCTAGCTCAAAGGTATGTATGTCTGTTAATTGTTAGAGTAAATTACATGAATGAATGGTCCCTATGGTTTGGGGTAATTTGCACGTTTGGTCCCTAACTTATTTATTTATTTATTTTTTTTTAACTCGAAAGGTCACTACTATTTGTTTTTGTCGCGCACTTGGTCTTTGTCTTACCTAAAAGGACTATTTTGCCCTTGATTTTTTAAATAAGGTGGGGTAGGTAAGGTAATGTGAGGTGGAAGTAGGGTTGGGGGTGTGTTTATTTAAATAAATTAAAAAAATCAAGGGTAAAATAGTTTTTTTAGGTAACATAGGGACCAAGCGCGCAACAAAAACAAATTCCGAGTTAGTTAGGGACCAAACGTGCAAATACCCCAAACCATAGGGACCATTCATTCATGTAATTTACTCTAATTGTTAGTTGTTACTTATAAAGGCCAACAGCCAGATCATAAACATCTCAACAAATCTTGTAGGATTCTTCAAAACACGTGTTCCACATTGTGACCGATAAGCTAAACTACGCAGCAATGAGGATGTGGTTTCTTGCAAATCCACCATGGAATGCGACGATTGAGGTCCAAAATGTGGACGAATTCACATGGCTAAATGCAAGCTACAGCCCGGTTCTCAAACAGTTGGGGTCTCAAAAAATGATTGATTATTATTTCAAAACGAAAACGACGGAGTTGGATTCCAATCTGAAATTCCGAAACCCAAAGTATCTATCCATCATGAATCATCTTCGGTTTTACCTTCCCGAGATGTTTCCAAAGCTTAATAAAGTGGTGTTTTTGGATGATGATATTGTGGTTCAAAAGGATCTGACCGGATTGTGGGGTGTGGATATGAAAGGGAAGGTGAATGGGGCTGTTGAAACGTGTGGGGAAAGTTTTCATCGCTTTGATCGCTACCTTAATTTCTCCAATCCTTTGATTGCTAAGAATTTTAATCCTCGTGCGTGTGGATGGGCATACGGAATGAATCTATTTGATTTGGAACAATGGAAAAACCAAAATATTACCGACATTTACCACTCGTGGCAAAATTTGGTCAGTTCTCTTTTTCCAACTTACAAATAAACTCAGTCTATTTTTCATGTCCACCTTCCATTTTTTTTTTTAGATGTGAGAAAAAATTGCAATTTTTTTTCCCATTGATATCAATCTAGTCCAATTCAACTCCAATACATGCCAAACACAGTACAGACTACGTAAGTAACAGACGGGATTAATAGCAAGTCTATGTCCCATCTTTTTGGATGAGAATTTTTTGTCTATACCACTTTTAGATGTGAGAAAAAATTGCAATTTTTTCTAGTTCCAGTCCAATACATGTCAAACACAGGACACATGTAAATACAAGAGGGACATAAAATAAAAGGAATGTTTTTGGTGTCTGTGCAGAACTCAGAGAGGGAGCTATGGAAATTGGGAACACTGCCACCTGGATTGATAACGTTTTATGGGAGAGTATTTCCATTAGAGAGATCATGGCATGTATTGGGGCTTGGGTATAACCCAAATGTCAGCCAAAAGGAGATTGAAAGAGCAGCCGTGATTCACTACAATGGGAATTTGAAACCATGGCTGGAAATAGGGATTCCAAAGTTCCGAGGTTATTGGAGTAGGTTTGTGGATTATGATCACCCCTACATGCGGGATTGCAATATTACTCCTTAAAACTAAAACTAAACCAAAACAAAATTACTCTAGCTATATTCTCATTCTTTTAATTGTTGATTCATATTTTGGGTTGTAATTGTATATTAGAAACAGGTTTTTTGTTGAAGAATGTGAATACTGGTTTTTCACAATCATAAAAAGCACATGCATGGGATGATGATGATGATGATGATGATGATGGCTGTCATTGTCACGTGCCAATATTCCATGTGCATATGCTCTGATGCTGCGATCTCTTCTGTCCACACGATACAAAATGCATTCAAAATACATAAAATAGTATTTATGGTTTGACAATTTTGTCTAGATAGTTACGTTTAATGTACATATTGTTGCTTATCTAAATAACAATCTCTTATGTTCTAGTTGCTTGCAGGTGTTGTAAATTTTATAACAAATGAATCATACTTTTGTTTTTTTGGTCTTATAAAGAAATCGGATCGACTGTGAAATTTTGGTTTTCACAAAAACAACAAACAAAACCTTTCGGTTTTTTGGTTTGCATTTTGAATTTTTTTTTCTTCAATACTTCTAGGTGATGATAGAGTAAATTACATAAACCATCCTTAACGTTTGTTCGTAACTATATATATATATATATATATATATATATATATATATATATATATATATATATATATATATATATATATATATATATATATGAAAAAATGAATATACCCTTAAGGATATATAAACTTACGTACCTAAACTCATTATAATACATGGTTTTGTATCATAATATACATTGTAATTGTCTAATTCTCTTTTAATTCAACTTATAGCTTGATTTACTTCTAAGATTTTTATAAATTTCATATTTATTTTATTCTTACATAAATTTCATTTTCAACTATAATATATATAGCTTAGTAAGTGTTTGACAAAAAGATGTGATGTAAAAGGAAGATAATAATGAAATTTCGAAAATATTAAAAGTAAACCAAGTTAGGGGTTGAAGTTTAAGAACAATATAATGAATATGTCAAACAAAACGATGTATTATGGTGGATTGGATACCTAAACTTATATACTCTCAAGGGTATATTCACTTTTCCATATATATATATATATATATATATATATATATATATATATATATATATATATATATATATATATATATATATATATATATATATATATATATATTGTTTTCTCACTTTGGATGATGGGAAAATGACTTAGGAGGGTAACTACCTTTTATTCATAATCACATATTGATAACTTCTTTTTTGTACACCATAAAACAATTAACTTGTTTTAACTGTTTAAATTACACCAATATTACCAGTTAATAAATGTTTTAACCGGTAACTCAAAGGGAAAATGACTTAGGAGGGTAACTACCTTTTATCCGTGTTTACATATTGACAACTTCTTATTTTTTGTACATAACAAAAGCAACTAAGTTGTTTTAATTGTATAACATCCCAAAAATCATGAACAAAAATTTCGTTTTTAATTTAATACTAAAACTATAATTTTCAAACCATTACTTTAATACTCTGGCATCGGGCCCCGTCTGGCATCGAGCCCCGCTCGGTATATAGATCTGTCTCTCTTAGGCCCCGCCCACTAAACACATGCAATCATATAACATGCTAACACATAAAGAAACATACTCTACCGTATCCCTGTCCTAAGAAACATACTCTGCTAATAATGAGATGCGGAACTTCGTCCGTACTCAACTAGTTCCATCCAGGGCTTCAGCAGTGAAAGGTGAGTCTCCTCACTGTGTGAATGAGTCAAAGGAAACAATGTCAGCCCATGTAGTCTATGAGTAGGAAGACCTGAGGGTTAGCCCTAGGCATTGTATGCTAGTATGTTATTCCAGACCAAGGCCCTATGTTGGGCGGGTGCCCAAGGAATGTTTGCATGTTAGATTATACTTGTTGTCTGTGTGATACTTGTATGTGCCTGGTAAGGAGGTGAGTGTGGGCGAGGTCCCATATCTCATCACTAGCTAAGTACGGATGATGTTCCGTATCTCATTATTAGCAGAGTATGTTTCTTAGGACAAGGATATAGTAGAGTATGTTTCTTTATGTGTTAGCATGTTATATGATTGTATATGTTTAGTAGGTGGGGCCTGGAGACAGGCGGGGCCTAAGAGAGACAAACCTGTATACCGAGCGAGGCTCGATGCCAGGCAGGGCCTGATGCCGGGCGGGGCCCGATGTCGGAGTATTAAATTAATGGTTTGACAATTATGGTTTTAGTATTAAATTAAAAACGAAAATTTTGGTCATGATTTCTGGGATGTTACACAGTTAAAACAGGTTAGTTGCTTTCTTATGTACAAAAACTAAGAAGTTACCAACATGTGAACACGGATAAGAGGTAGTAACATCCTAAGTCATTTTCCCTTTGAGTTACCGGTTTAAAACATGTATTAGCCGGTAATATTGGTGTAATTTAAACAGTTAAAACAAGTTAATTGCTTTATTATGTACAAAAAAGAAGAAGTTGTCAATATGAGAACACGTATAAAAGGTACTTACCATCCTAATGATGAGTTTTGGTCATAAGACATCCTATGTGCTCATACAAACCCTAATGCTTGGATCTAGGTTTCTCTATTGTACATGCTTTGAATCCAAGACTATAAACCCTAATTATAGTATATGAAATCGATATTAACATATGAATGGGTTTAAGAACATACCTTGATTGTTATATAGCAATAACAATCCTAAATCTCCTTGTATTGACTTTGGAATGCTTAGAGTCACAAGTGTCACTCCTCTAATGGCTTACAAACACCAAGAGCAAATGGAGAAGGTATAAAGAGAGAGGAGAGAGGTTAGAATTCGTCATTAGGACTTCTTGGGAAGGGATACACGAATTCTAAGGCCTTAGGGTCTTTATATAGGTGTAGAGATAGGGTTTCAGTCATTATCCTTGTCTAGTTGCTTATCCATAAAGCAACCATAAGATAAGCCTTGAAAACCCTTATCCTTTATCCTTTGGACGATTTCAAGGATCCTTATCTCCTTGAATTCATTCAACCCATATTTAGGATAACCATTACCATATTTTGTAACTATCACATAATTACAATTCAGCCCCTCTAGTTTAATTAATTACACTTGATCACAAAATTAATTCCTAATTAATTATTGACCAATATTAATTAAGCAAATATGATTTCTCCTTTAATATATCATTCTTATAACATATTAATAAATCATAATAACCTCTCTCTCTTTATTTATTTCTCCAATCAAGTTGCTTTGGTGAAGGCAACCCAAAAGGACCATGCACCATCGGGTCAAGTACATACCAAAATAGTTATGGACTTAGACACTAATCCAACACCTAAGTCATTTTCCCTTGGACGACAGCCTCTCTAGTTTTGTTGTGGTCCCAAATCAATTTAAAATTAGTATTACCATTGTTATTATTTTTATTTATTAAGTTAAATATATAAATTGTTAATATAGAGTGGGTTGCACCACGCCTATCGTTGACACCTCACCATCACAACTCATGTCTATCTTATCATTCTCTTTTCTCAGAGGACATCCAAATTCCATTATAACTCTATCGAGTTCATTAGATTTCAACATCATTTATTAAACACATATAACATCCATAACGCATTAAACTTTTATTCAATTATAGTCACCATTTTATTCTTTCTATTAAACCATTAAACTCTTATTCAACTTTAGGGGGTGTTTGGATTAGCCTTTTAGCTTATTGCTTATAGCTTATTTGTGGTGGGAATAACCAATAAGCAATAAGCATTGGGAGGGATGCTTATTAAAATTAGCTTATTTAGCTTTTAAGCTAGATTTTATCCAAACACTCAAATTAGCTTATTGTGGGAATAAGCAATAAGCACATCTTTTTTTTTTCCCTATCCAAACACCCCCTTATTGCATATTTAATTTTAATCATCATCCTATTCAACTCTTATACTACTAGCATTTTTGGATGCTTTACAGATGTTAAAAAGTTTCGTGAGACCTTGATCCCATACTATGTGTATTTGTTTTTTAAAAAAATAAGGGCAAGGTTAAACCCATTTTAATTTCAGGGGCAGGGGCGAAGGTGGGCAGTTCCGTTCTGAACTCTCCATGGAGGATCTGTTAATATATATATATATATATATATATATATATATATATATATATATATATATATATATATATATATATATATATATATTGGAGGATGTTATGGTAATAGAGATTTAAAGGTGGTTTTAACAATCATTATTTATTTATTTATTTTACGTCATTAACCACTTTTAAATTCAAGTTTTCATAATAAAAATGTCAAAAAAATGCTTTGTTAATATGAAATAATTTCTCTTGTATCATCGATTATTTTCATGTAGTTCAAAGTTTGGATGAATTCTTGTCCAAAATAATAATGTTGAGGCGACATAATCTTATATGTTTTTCTTGTTTTCACGTTTTCGCAAATTATTTGCATTTTCGCATAAGTCATCCCATTATATATATATATATATATATATATATATATATATTATATATATATATATATATATAGACACACACACATGAGTGTTGGATTAGGTGTTGTTGAGGCGACAGAATCTTATATGTTTTTCTTGTTTCCACGTTTTTGCAAATTATTTGCATTTTCGCATAAGTCATCCCATATATATATATATATATATATATATATATATATATATATATATATATAATATATATATATATATATATATATATATATAGACACACACATGAGTGTTGGATTAGACGTATAAGCCAATAACTAAATTGGTGTATACTTGAATTATTAGCAAAAACATTTTGGGTTTCCCTCAAACTTACTAATGACTAGAATGTGTAACATCCCTAAATCCGGAGTAAAAATATTCCTTTTTAAAACCCTTTAGTAATCCATAAACCATAAAATACATTGTTTTCAAGAAGATAGTCAAATAAGAGTATCCCAAAATCATCAATTAACAAGATATCCAAGGATGATGTACATAATCACGCCTTTGTCTTGCCCCGATCATCTAATGTACCTGAAACCATAAAATCAAACTATAAGCCAAAGCTTAGTGAGTTTCCCCAAAATACCACCACACAACATATAACATCATGTATATTGGGTCCACGTTTACCAGACTGGATTACCCCTGAGCCCATAATACGAGTTTGGTTT